TCAGGATGTTAATCTTGAAGCTGTAGTGGTGTTTCGTGTCGTATTGTATTTTGGTGTCGTATTAATTAGGGCAGCACGGTTGCACAACCGGTAGAGCTGCTGCCTCTCAGCGAGCAGTTCAAATCTAGGTCTGAGGGCCTTTCTGGGTGGAGTTTGCATATTCTCTCTGTACATGCAGGGTTTTTTTCCGGCTACTCCAGTTTCCTCCCACAGACCAAAAACATGCATGTTAGGCTGATTGGTAACTCTAAATTGTCCCTAGGTGTGATTGAGAGATGTGTCTCTGTGATGGACTGGAGACCTGTCCAGGGTGCCCCCCACCTATTGCACAGTGACTGCTGGATATGGGTACCAGTGACCCCTGCGACCCAAAAAGGAAGAAACGATTAAAGATGATGGATGGATGGTCATATTAATTTTGTGGGGCAGTTTGAATCTAGCTCCTCTGTCCTTTTTTTAATTCTTGTGTGAGATTTTTTTATTTATAATTTTTTTAGACCTCTTAAAAATACCTTGTAATCCTTACATTCCTCCTAAAAAATATCACAAAGCAAAATCACTTGAGCTAATATAACAAAGACTTTATACTGTAGATATGATGATAAGCGACAACAAGAAATAACATAAGCATACTATAAAAACAAGGAAGTGGAGGAGTATCTTGACAGGCAAAACACAAAGCAGATGGCAAACAAATTTAAAACCAAAAACATACCTACGCAACAAAAAGATAATGAAACATACTGACACAGGCTAAAAAACAAGAGACTAATGCTCCTTTTCCGTAGTACAGTATCTTATCAGCACGACTCGACTCAGTTTGGTATGCTTTTGAACCCTTTTCCACTAGCACTTTTTCGTGGAACTTCACTTTTTTTGGTCCCTGCCTCTCTGGTGGTACCAAGCGAGCCGAGCCGGCACCAAAATGTGACGTCAGAACACTGTCGTCACTAATTGGTCAGGGGACGGAGTCACTGGATCTTTCAGAAACTTTTCAAAACACTGATCCGCTATTTGCAATTACTCGGAACTCGTAGCAGCAGCTGGATCTATTTTTTAAGATTTTAAAAACAATAATGACAACACAGTGGTCTAATGCTGAAATACAGGTCTTTTTTGTATTTGGTGACCGACGACAAAATTCAGAGCAAGCTAGATGGAGCTCGGTCTTCTCCACCAGAGCCTCAGAGCCCCCTCAGGCCGTGCAGGGTGTCATCTCCCCGGCTCCTAGCTCCGCTGGTGTCAGCGGAAGGATTTGAACCAGGGACCTGCTCGCTGAGAGGGAGCAGCTCTACCAGTTGTGCCACTGTTCTGTCAAGAAAAACTATAACATTTTAAATACATTTTTGTAGAATCTGGATTGTCAGATTTAATTCAATTCAGTTTTTTTATGTAGCGCGAAGTCACAACAGAAGTCGTCTCAGGGCACTGAACAGAAATATTCATATATAAAATGTTAACAGAAACATTCATATTTAAAAATAATAATTTAACATTATTCATCTGAGGAACAGACTGCTTTGAGATAAACTCCATCGCAGAACTCTCACTCTTAATGGTTAACTAAAGTTCATTAAAAGTTCATTAGCAGGATAAATATATATATATATATATATATATATATATATATATATATATATATATATATAAAAGAAAACAGGCAACGCACAAAGCAACATAAAAATGGAGTAAAATCAAAATATAGACACAAAATCGTCGCAGATAATAAATATAACGACTAATCTGTGTGAAGCACACTGGTTCAAACCCAGATCATCTAGTGTTGAAAGCTAAGGAATAGTAGTGAGTTTTTAAGCGGGATTTGAAAACTGAGATGGAGGGGACCTGTCTGACAAGCAGAGGTAACTTATTCCAAAGTCTTGGGCCTGTGACAAAGAAGGCCCTGTCACCCCTGCGCTTAAGACGAGTTCCTGGAACTGTGAGAAGCAACTGGTCCGCTGACCTCAGGGAATGTGGTGGGACATACGGCTGTAGCAAATCAGAGAGATAGGGGAGGGGGTGGAACTGTTCAGTGATTTGAAGACATACAGGAGTATTTTGAACTGGATTCGAAGATGAACCAGTAGCCAGTGCAGGGAGCCCAAAACTGTTGTAATGTGCTCTCTTTTTGCCTGTACTGCTTAAAAATTGGGCTGCCGCATTCTGGACCAGTTGTAGTCTAGCAATGGAGGTCTGACTGAAACCAAACAGGAGCGAATTATAGTAATCGAGCCTAGATTTTATGAATTTGTGTATTACTGTCTCCAGGTTATCTTTGGACAGTAAGGGCTTCAGCTTAGACAGTCGCATCAGTTGGAAAAAACAGGATTTAACAATCATGTTTACCTGACTATTAAGTTTCATGAAAGGATCCATTATCACTCCCAGATTTGTGACTCTTTGTTCTTCTAATGGGGCTAGGGAGGAAAGATCGATGCATTGGTTCGTGATTGTGTCGTTGAGAGGGAACAACATGACTTCAGGCTTCTTCTCATTGAAACTTAAGAAATATAAAGCCACCCAATTCCTGATGTCAGCCAAGCAGTCAAGCAGAGGTTGAATAGAGCGTGTACCACTACGTCTTAATGGGAAATAAATTTGACAGTCATCGGCGTAGAAGTGAAAGGGTATGTTGTGTTTCCGGAAAATAGCACCTAGTGGCAACAGGTATAAAGAGAATAGAAGGGGACCCAGGATGGACCCCTGCGGTACCCCCCATTTAAGCTCTGCCGCTGCTGAACTAAAATCTTTGATGGAGACACAAAAGGATCTGTCAGCTAGGTAGTATCTAAACCAATTAAGGGCTGACCCTGTGATGTCCACCCACTGCCCCAACCTAGCAATGAGGATCTCATGGTTGATGTATCAAAAGCAGATGTAAGGTCCAATAGGACAAGCAGCACAGAATCACCAGTATCTGTGGATAGGAAGATGTCATTAAAAACCTTCAGTAGAGCAGTTTCAGTGCTGTGGAGAGGTTTAAAGCCAGATTGGAATAACTCTAAGATAGTGTGATCCTCCAGGAAGCATTTTAACTGGGACTCAACTATTTTCTCCAGTAGTTTAGAAACAAATGGGAGTCTGGAGGCAGGCCGGAAGTTGGATACGACTGAGGGGGTCAAGGTTAGGTTTGTTTCAGGAGAGGTTGAACAGCAGCATGTTTAAAGGTTTTTGGCACCACAATCATGATCATGTCCTCGGCCCCCTGCCTCTTTATGTCATGTTTTCTGCTCAGTCACTCTACTACGACCCCCTCTGAACTTTCAGCCCCATCTATCCATCCATCCATCCATCCATCCATCCATCCATCCATCCATCCATCCATCCATTTTCTTCTGCTTATCCGGGGTCGGGTCTCGGGGGTAGCAGCCTAAGTAGGGAGGCCCAGACTTCCCTCTCCCCAGCCACTTGGGCCAGCTTCTCCGGGGGAATCCCGAGGCGTTCCCAGGCCAGCCGAGAAACATAGTCCCTCCAGCGTGTCCTGGGTCTTCCTTTGGGCCTCCTCCCGGTGGGACGTGTCCGGAACACCTCACCAGGGAGGCGTCCAAGAGGCATCCTAAACAGATGCCCGAGCCACCTCAACTGGCTCCTCTCGACGTGGAGAAGCAGCGGCTCTACTCTGAGTCCCTCCTGGATGATCGAGCTTCTCACCCTATCTTTAAGGGAGAGCCCAGACACCCTGCGGAGAAAATTCATTTTGGCCGCTTGTATTCGAGATCTCGTTCTTTCGGTCACAACCCAAAGCTCATGACCATAGATGAGGATAGGAACGTAGATCGATCGGTAAATTGAGTGCTTCGCCTTTTGACTCAGCTCTCTCTTCACCACGACAGACTGGTACAGCGCCCGCTTCACTGCCGACGCTGCACCTATCCACCTATCAATCTCACGCTCCATTTTTCCCTCATTCGTGAACAAGACCCCAAGATACTTGAACTCCTGCACTTGGGGTAGGACCTCCTCCCCAACCCGGAGACGGCTCTCTACCCTTTTCCAGCTCAAGACCATGGCCTCGGATTTGGAGGAACAGATCCTCATCCCGGTCGCATCACACTCGGCTGCGAACCGCTCCAGTGAAAGCTGTAGATCACGACTTAATGAAGCCAATAGGACCACATCATCTGCAAAAAACAGAGATTCGATCCTAAGGCCACCAAAACGGATCCCCTCAACACCTTGGCTGCACCTAGAAATTCTGTCCATAAAAGTTATGAACAGAATCGGTGACAAAGGACAACCTTGGCGAGTCCAACTCTCACTGGGAACGAGCCTGACTTACTTCCGGCAATGCGGACCAAGCTCTGACACTTTCAGGTCATAAGTCCTTATTCATTCCACCTGTTCCTGGCCTTATTTAAGAATTCATTCACTCAGCTCTCTGCCAGATTATCACACCCTTCGTGGTGTTAGATATCCAGCCATCTTATTCCTGTTCTCATTCACACCTGACACTCAAGCCTTGTTCTTTGAGTTTGACTTCACGCCTTGTCTTTGGGATTTACCCCTCTACCTGACCCTCGTCTGATTCTGCTGTGCTTATCTGACTCTGGTACAACTACATTTTCTGCCTCACGGATATTGGATTAAGGATCACCTTCTGGATTTGTTCTTGGACTTCTGACTCCCTATGTATGACCCCTGTTTTGCCTTTTGGGCCACGACCCTGGATTGCACTGCTGTGACAACATTAAAGGCCTCCCTCTGCAGCTACCTTCCCACCAGTTACAATGATGTCATCTCTTCTAGCTCCAACAGGTGGCTCTCACCCCACCTGCCTGAGAAGACATGTTTCCTGCAACTGGACTCTGACTCCCACCAGCAACTGCAAAGCAATAAAGTTATTTTTGTTTGTTTCACTCTTGTTGTCTGGCTGATTTTGAATCCAAAAACCCTGACTCGTGACAACATCTTGACGTTTTTCTCCATGAACAAAATTACATTGTTGTTTTGTTTTCCAGCACCAGGGCATCATTGTATACTGTTTTCTTTTTTCTTCTCAGTCGTGTGTCACCTACCTTGTATAAATGGTGGAAAGTGCAGTGCACGGAACAAGTGCCAATGCCCTCCAAATTTTGCTGGAAAGTTCTGCCAGATGCCGGTTCAGAATGGACAGCAACAGACATCAGTAAACTACGGCCACACTCAGGTTGTCTCCACACACACCCTGCCTCTGACGTACAGCAACGGCCAGACGCCTGGTAAGTAAAAGAACACTACTGCAATGCCAGTGTTACTTCTCTTATTTGTGTATACTTATTCTCTTATTTGTGTAGGAATCTGTGCTGAGAGTCAAATACCACACTCCATAGCATTTATAGCCCAAGTTAATTGCCTGTTTCCAGATGGGCTGTTAGTTGCATAAAATACATTAAGGCAGTTTAAAACACTGTCACAAAACAGAACAATGGTTCAAAGAAAACGACTGGCAGGTAAAATAAAAATGACAAATGTGCTTTTCAAGCTGACAATTATTCCTGCAATCAAAGTTTTTCAATAAACTTTAATCCCCTGAAAGCCTTTTAAGTTGGCTTAATTTTTTTAAATAGAACATTTCATACACTTGTGCAATTTGAAAAATATTGATTTTATTTGACTAATTCAGTAACTTAATTTTATTGTACTTGTTACTACCACAATAAAGATATTCTGATGTTTATTCAGTTGAACTAAATGTAGATTTATGTTTTATGATTTAAGTTTATTGAGATTACAAAGTACCAAATCTGTCATACGCTCTTACACAAAATAAGGTTAAAGGAGTGTGTAAACCTGCCTTTGCTAGGTTAAAAAAAAAATAGGCAATAAAAAGGACTACCAGCTAATATATACCGGTAAATGAATCCTACAGTAAATTTGGGCAGTAAAATATTGTTATGGTCTCCAGACTTTTTATAGAAAACTTGTGGTACCACATGCACACTGCATGCACACTGATCTTCTTATATAAAATATTGTGCTACCTCTCAGAAATGTCTACACATTCCTGCACTGTAATAAACGCAGTACTAACTCTACCAGTGTTCAATCCAGGCATCGTCAACATTCACATCAAACATCCACCGGAGGCCTCTGTTCAAGTTCACCAAGTGTCTCAGCTAGATGATTATCACAACAATGGGCACCAGCAGAAAGGTCCCCAGGCAGGTTCCTCTTCCTCCACCAGCTACAGTTACCACCACTCCGAAAGCAGCCAGAAGATTCAGCACCATGGCTATAACATGGTGTATTCCAACCCGCATGGCTACCAGCTTCCTCATTACCAGCCCGTCATGTCCAAGAACACACTGGGTCGCTGCTTTCAAGAGACTACAGCTGGTCAGGTACACAATTTATTTATCATCTGAACATTTTAAACAGAACATGCTAGCTTTTAGTTCATGTCCATGTGTCTCCACTGAAGTAAATGATCTCTAATTCAGTGTAGTGTTTGTAAATTTAAACTGGCCTTACATGTAGATTGGACATACAGGAACTGCAGTGGGGGCGTTGTCTTTTTTATCATTAAACAACGTACTAGATGCTGAAATGCATCTTGTACATAAGCAATTTTCATTCAACCTTTATTTATACAGGCTAGCCTCATTGAACCACAGGGACTCATTTACAAGAGGGAACTGTTCCATACAGAACATAAAATTGTGGTATAATGGTGTGCATAAATCATAATTTGGTATATACCTCATTTTTTTAGGTCATGGTTCAATGTAGATTTAGTAAAGAGGGAAAAATAGACACATGCCAAAAGAAAAAAAAAGTTTTTTTTTTCAAATATTTTTGAACATATTATAACTCTCCCCAAAACAAAGACAATAAAACACACCCTTGTTTGAGCTGTATGGTAGCTTTAGGGTAGGAATTGTCAACTATAAAACTAAAACATAAACTCACCTTGTAGTCTTATTTATTAAATCTGAATTCTAAGTGTCTACAGGCGATTGTCTTTCAAAAAGTTTGATAACTTCCAAAATTGAAAGGTATCTTACTTTTTTAAAGAAAACTGCACAAAGAGAGTGTTGGTAATTTAACCTAGAATTGATGACAAATTAAAAGCAATTCAGAACTGAATAAACTCTCCCAAGTGTGAAAATACAGTATAAAGAAAATGTTAAACACTCACATTGAGCTTCTCAGCTAGCTAAGTGCTCATGTGCTGGTTATGAACAGATGGCACCTATTATACACCTGATGGTGTAGTCAGTGGTGTTTATTACACACCAGAGGAAGCTTCAAAGAGTTGTAGATGCTAGGTAAAGTACTAAGGTGTTGATCTGTGAGCAACAGTATGGTTTAATACCCAGAAAGCGCACTACCAGTGTAATGTTTAATTTAGTGTTGACGTAGAAGTATATACAGTAGGAGGTCAGAAGGAGCTGCAATGTGTCTTTGTGGATTGAAACAAAGCACATCATAGGGAGACAAGAGTTAAATGCGGTACCGTATGAGGAGGTCAAGTGTGGCTGGGAAGCATGGGAGGGTAGTGCAGTAGTCCCCATGGACTATTATGTTTGTAAACAGCATTGTGAACTGTAGTGAGTGGAAGTAGCAGGTGGAAGAGAGCCTCGGGAGGTGGAGGTATGATCGGGAGAGAAGAGGATTGAACATTTGTAGAAGCAGGACAGAATGCATGTGTTGAATGAGAGGCCGATAGGTATAACAATGATTCTGCAAGGATACTACAAGAGATATAAGAGATACTAACAGTTGATGAGTGTAAGTACCTGCACTCGATCATCTGAAGCAATGAGCTATGAACAGGAGAGGTGTAAAGGAGAGCGCAGTGTGGATGGAGTGGATGTCAACAAGGGTCAAGGTTGATTTGTGAGGCAAGGAACGTTACAAGAGTGAAAGGGATGGAAGGTTTACAAGGCGTTAGTGAGACTTGCTAAGATGTATGGTTTGGAAACATTGGCTCTGATCCAAAAACAGAAGACTTAGCTGGAGGTGGGAACTTTGAAAATGCTAAGATTTCATTTGGGGTGACAAATTAGAATAGATAAAATTAAATATGAGTATATCAGAGGGACAGCTCAGGTTTAGAACCAAAGTTAGAACGGTCAGGCTAAAGTAGTTTGCACATGTACAGAAGATGGACAGTGGATATATTGAACCTAGGATGTTACATGTGGAGCTACCAGGAAGGACGAAGAAGACAACCACAGAACGTCCGTTACTTTATTGAAGAAGGATATGCAGAAATGTGGTGTGACTGAGGAGGATGCTGTGAACAGCTAGAAGAAAAAGAAGAAGATGGTGTTTCAAGGCATGCACATTTTGACCCATTTGTCTTTCCATAATCTGCCTTTCACTCTCCACTGCTACCAAAGAGCACCGTGGATTAAAAACACACTCCTCTGATTTGAAAGAGTCAGCTCTTAAAGCCCTTGTGTCTCATCTGATCTACCTATTCTTTTGCTTTCATGTCGAGTGCTTTAGATAGGCTCTTCATCTTGCTCTTTTCTGTCAGTGAGCAAAAAGCTATTAAAAAAACATGAGCAACATACTAGAGTTATGCAGTAGTTATGTAGATGAGATGGTGATTGCCTATGACTTGTGTATCTTCTGACTGGATGCACCAAACCCCAATGTTCAGTTCAAACAGCTATACTGTCTGACCCCAATAAAACAACCTTTTGCCTTTTTTTGTCATTAATCCAGGCTTCACACTTATCAGAAAACATCTATTAAGAGTGTTTGTCCACATTTTACAAATATATTAGTATCATAGTTTAATAAACTGTTATTTTGTTTCAGCCATTGACTTTGTGACCTATGAAAATTTAAACTGAATAATTAGGGATTTTAATAAAATACATTTTGAAAATTCATGTCAGCGAAGCACCTGTGAGGATATCAATATTTGGATGCAGTTGTCAGGACAGCTAACAGACTTATATTTTTTCCCACCATGTGTTTGGCTTGATAAAATGTATTAGCATCAACCTACTGTATTTCTGACTTACGAGGCAAGGAAACACTGGAAGCAGACAGTTAAAATGGACAAATTTATGGTGCCACTGCCAAAATAATCCATATTGAGCCTGGTGGTTTGTGCTGATACCAGGTCCTGGAGATGAAGGATGTAAAATGAACAGATTTATTATCTAGTGAACTGCAAAAACGTCACTTTGTTGAATTGAGGTGGTCTTGAAAAGTCATCCCTGGGTCACATTTTGCAGAGCCAGTGTTTGCCATAAGAGGTTAGAAAAGGCAAAGATGTGTTCATCTGATATGGGACTGAGAGGTGTGTTTGTCAGAAACTGTTTTTATGGTTTTTATTATTATAACTAAAATAAAAATTGATCACTTCCACACTTTTACTGCTCTTTTACTTTGTGACTTGATGGATCAGTGTGGAAAGGCTCTGCCAGGTCTCACCAAGCAGGATCAGTGCTGTGGGTCCATTGGGACCTCCTGGGGGTTCCACAAATGCCAAAAGTGTCCACAGAACCCATGTAAGTACAACTTATTTACCCTGAAATTGTTTTCTTTATATAATTTTAGAGCTTCTATTCATCTTCAATAACTCTAAATACTTCTCTGCATGACTTTTAAATAGGTCTTTTTTTCACATTTTAGAAGAAAGTCTGATAGGAGAAAGAAAGTTCTCAGCTTGGGGGGGGGGGGGTGTCTCTCAGTTTTTGGGGGACAGGGCTATTCTTTACAGTTTCCTCCCTCTCAGTTGTTAAACATTCCAACACTTGATCAACGTCATGAAAAACTTGTGTTTTTGTTACCAAAACTCCTTTTGGTTAAAAAATATTCAGTGTAGAGTGGACAGAGCCTTTTTTGTCCCATTGAATTTCTGCTTTGTTTGTGTGTGTGTGTGTGTGGGGGGGTGGGGGTGGGGGGTTAATTGTTTCCCCAAGAAAATGGACTTTCAAGACATACTGCATTTTTAAATACTGGGAGTAAAGCCAACAAAGCCTTTTATAATATTAGGTGACAAAGCAGTTGTCCAAACAGAAACTAATATGTAGGAAAATCATTTTTATTATTTTTACTGCCTGAAATCGTTTTAATTTCAGTAACACACACAGAGGAGACTGCACCCATTCCTGCTGCTTGCAGGTGTTTAGTACTATTCCTCTTGCACCTGTGCTGTAATTCTAGTTTGTGTAGCAGGAAGAGGTTTTTAGATTTCAGTCACATGATAACAGGGAGGACCTGACTGATAAAGACTAACCAAGCAGAATGTCAACAGTCTAATAAATCATACTGACAGGAATGTTTGGACTCCTTCTCATACAAACTGGATGTCATGCTGGGATACAGAGTGAAGGTGAAAAGCACAGAACACCACCCAGTTTAATATGGAACAAAACATATTGTCCTCGAAGCCAAGATTATTACAAAACACCAGATTATACATATATGTCATTATATTTAGGAAATGTTGGTGAATGGTGAAGAGTGGGCGTGGCAGATGACAGAGGACGAGATCATGAAGAGGCAGAGATGTGAACAGATGGGGGGGCAAGCAGAGACCGCTGATCATGACAAAGGCTCCCAAAACAAGCCACAAAGTAGCAAGACTGATTTAAAAATTGGAAATTTAACAAAATTGATTTTTGTCATTTTCAAATAATTGTCATTAGCCACGCAAACATTTTAAGCTGTGGGCTGCTGCACTCGACACTACACTCGTTTATCAGAGCACTTCCTGTGATGGGATGCCTTTTATGACAGGGGTGCGTTTTTCAGTACTACACCTTGGGTTAGCTCTCAAGGGAAGTTCAATGTGTGCAAGCGGGCCTAAATAGCTTGAATCAGGACAAGAACAGGATTTATTAACAGCACTAGAGCCTCAGCTTTCTGAAGTCGTACAAGTTTCATTTGAAAAGCTTTTTGAAATTAATTAGACACATTTGAATCAGCAAGACATTAAAATCAGCAACTGACAGCTCTAAATGTTTTACACTAATTATGTGCATATGTACGGGCAGTACGGTGGCACAACTGGTAGAGCTGCTGCCTCTCAGCGAGCAGGTCCCTGGTTCAAACCGCGTCCAGGGGCCTTTCTGGGTGGAGTTTGCATGTTCTCTCCGTGCATGCGTGGGTTTTCTCCGGGTACTCCGGTTTCCTCCCACAGACCAAAAACATGCATGTTAGGCTAATTGGTAACTCTAAATTGTCCCTAGGTGTGAGTGAGAGAGTGAATGGTTGTTTGTCTCGTTTGTCTCTATGTGGCCCTGTGATGGACTTGCGACCCATCCAGGGTGTACCCCGCCCCTCGCACAGTGATTGCTGGACATGGGCACCAGCGACCCCCGTGACCCATAATGGAATAAACGGGTAAAGATAATGGATGGATGGATGGATGTGCATATGTGCCACCTGCAGTTCTGCTAGTTTCTGATTATAATTGTTTGTATAAACATGGTTTAGGGTAGACTGATTGCATCTTTTTAAACATGTTTAAATGAATGGTAACCCTACCCCACAAAGACCTTGTTTACACATGATGCTAAAATCCATCATTAGCGATCAAGTTGCATTCTGTTAGCGCTAAACACAGGTGTAAATTGCAATGAAAACTATGACAAATTCTTCTCAATAAAAATACCCTTTTGTTAGGATTTTATTATCTAGACTGGGTACCACAACACTGGGTGGTGAGTTTCTCAACCTTGTTGTGTTTTTAGAATTGTGTTGACCCACTGTGGCAAGGGTAAGTTATAAGCTGTCAATCACAAAACAGCATATGAGCAGCTTTATTTCACATTATCTTCACCTAAATAACCACACTGCTGATCTTATATTTACAGTGAAGCAGTATAAAACAGCTGACAGCTGTGGGCAGACAGTTTCACCACAGTGGACTTAGATCTTCAGTCTTGGTCCTGAAACTGAGCTCCCTGAAGTCACCGATTGGGCCTTTATTTCTCTTGCATTGGGCCAATTAGGTAATTAGGCTCATCAAGTGAAACTAACTCAAAGGGCTCTAAAATCATGTCATAGTGTGTAAATGGTAAATGGACTGCACTTATATAGTACTTTTCTATTTTGTCAAGATACTCAAAGCTCTTTACAACACAATCTGTTCCCTCAGTTACACATTCATACAGCACTCTGCTACATATGTACAAAGAATAATCAGGGCTTTATCACATTCATACACATCAGAGGCGATGAGGGGTTCAATGTCTTGCCCAGGGACACTTCGACATGTGACTGCTGGTGGAATTGAACCCCCAACTCTTGCATTGGCGGATCACTGCTCTAACCACTCAGCCACAGCCGCCCGGCATATGTATAATATTATATTTCAGAAGTCTAATTGTATTGTAATTTTTTTTAGAAACATCTGCAGACCTGGTGTCACTGTGTTGTTCAGCTGACACTGTGTAACATGACTGCACGTGTATCTGTAAATAGAGCAGGAAATTGATATCTGATTGAAAAAACGATTTGGAGTGCACATTTTAAGCCAGGTGTGAATGCTCTCATTCAGTTCTGACTATTTCCAGTTGAATCACCCAAGACGGATTTATGGTGCCAGCTGTGAACAGGGTCCAAGTGCCTCAGAAATGTGGTACTAAGCCTACTGCCATATTATATTGCTCAGAAACCTCATTAACCCAATATTTCACATGCTGCAGTCAGAGTAGATCATTAGCAGTTTGTTATTTGAACACATCTGGTGATATGAGATTAAAAAGCTCAGACTATGGGTTTTATTAAACATGTTCTGAGTTGCTTTAAATCAAGACGCCTGATTTGACAAAATATTGACTGATGTCACTAAAAGTATGAGTTATCCTTTAGATGAAAGTTGTTGCATTGAGCCAACAAAGTGCAAAATAAAGAGCTGATAAAGACAGAAAGCATCATCTGACCTTTGTACTGGGTGGCGTATAAACATATAGGTGACTTTAAGCATACAAGTTGTTTCAGAGTTCCAGTTATTTCCTCGTTCCATGGCTCTTTTTAGACATCTAAACTGAGTGAGGAGGAGTTATAGAAGGTGCTGCCAGTCTTTTTATGTGGTAGCTGGCTATTCAACACTACTCCCTTTATAGATGGAGCATGTTTTTAGGGCCAGAGCTGCTGGATGTAGAGCATGAAAAGTCACAGAACTGCTTGGTGAGAAAACGAGTCACAGGTCTTAGGAAAATAGCTCAAAGGCATGAGAAGCCAAGACTGTGACCTCAGAGCATTAACGCAGAATGCTTATATAAATAAACGGCACACTTACTCCACTGGTGGGTTGGCTTTTACAGGAACTCTATCAACTTATTTAGTGATGACTGCACCAACATTTTATTTCAAACACTCCAGCTTCAATGCAAAACATGAGGAAAGCAACTGAGCTTTCAATGCAGGGATCTCAAAGAAAAAATTGCTCAGAGGCCATAAAATAGTGTACTGATTCTGCAAAGCCCAGTTTTTGTTGTTAAAAAAAAACAATGCTAAAAAAAAAAAATATATTGACAATAAATGGACTGTACGTATATAGCAACTTTCTATCTGATCAAGATACTCTAAGCTCTTTCCACTACAATCTGTGCCTCATTTACCCATTCATACAGCACTCTACTAGATCTATACAAAGATAATTGAACAAATCATTCTAAAGAGACTAATCAGAGATTTATCACATTCATACACTGATGGGACACACATCAGAGGCTGTGAGGGGTTCAGTGTCTTGCCCAGGGACACTTCAGCATGTGACTGCTGGTGGATTCAAACCCCCAACTCTTGCATTGGAGGACGACTGCTCCAACCACTCAGCCACGGCCGCCCTAACTTACAATATAAATAATGTATTGTAAAATAATAATAATAATAATTATATATATATATATATATATATA